CCACAAACAAGAAATGCTGGAGAGGCTGTGGAGAAAAGGGAACCCTCCTACACTGTTAGTGGGAATGTAGTTTGGTGCAGCCATTACGGAAAATAGTTTGGAGAGTCCTCAAAAAACTGAAAATAGACTTACCATATGATCCAGCAATCCCACTCCTGGGCACACATCGGGAAGGAACTCTAATTCAAAAAGATACCTGCACCCCAGTGTTCATAGCAGCACTATTTACAATAGCCAAGACGTGGAAGCAACCTAGATGTCCATTGGCAGATGACTGGATAAAGAAATGGTGGTATATTTACACGATGGAGTACTACTCAGCCACAAGAAAGAATAAAATAATGCCATTTGCAGCAACATGGATGGACCTGGAGATTGTCTCATTCTAATGAAGTAAGCCAGAAAGAGAGAAAAAAAATACCATATGATACCACTTTTATGTGAAATCTAAAAAACAAAAAGACAAATGAAAAAAGTTTAAATGGGCACATCATTTCTGGAAAACAATTTTCAGTATGTATCAAGAGTTTTAAAAGTTTTCATGTCTTCAGTCCAGGCACAGGACTTCTAAGCGTATCTCCTCCGGCTGTGATCAGAGGCACCACCAAAGGCTTGTCAAGATTATCGCGGTGGAAAAAGCTAAATTATCTGACAGTTTGTGGACAGCCAAATCACCTGTCTCCTCCACACAATGGAATACAACACTGCCATGACAATAATCTCTCATACATTTCTAATGGTATAGAAAAGTGTTCATAATCATATGGAATGGAAAATGAACGATAAAGAATGATATACACAAATTATCCCGATTTCGGAGATTTTATGTGTGTGTATCTGATATGTATGTCTATATATCTGTATCTGACAGGAAATTTACCACCATGTTACTAGTAGTTATCTCTGAGTCATGAGATGCTTTTCTGTATTCCCGCCTCCCTTTGAATGGGCAGCTATCCCTTTTATATGATTATTTTAGTGTCTTTATTGAAGTATAATTTACTCATCATAAAATGCACGCTACCTTTATATTATTTTAAATAATTATGTATTTTGTCCATTAAAAATTTTTTATATTTAGAAAATAGAACATTACTTTAAATAAAAAACAAATCTTCTAGACCATAGACTGTCTCAGGATTCCGCCGAAGAAAGAAAAATACGTACATAAATGCCATTAAATTGTGTACTTTTAATGGTTGAACTGCATGGTGAGTTACAGCTTAATCGTATCTTACTAAAGCTGTTACCGTAAGCTACCTAGCTCTGCCCCCACTAGCTGTGTGACTTTGAAGGGTGACCTCATCTCCCTGAGCCTCAGTTTCTTCAACTGTTAAGTGGTGATAACAGCTCATGAGCTGTTGGGTGTTTTGATGAGAGGACACAAGCTGCTGGCAAGTAACAACAGCCGGTATTTTCGGAGGACCCCCAGCACCCGGCCCTGCGCTTGGCACTCTTGTTCATGCCCTCATTTAGTGCTCAAAGCCCTCTTATGCCGATCGTGCAGTGGACGAGACGGAGGCCAAGGGGAGGCCAAGCCACAGCACTCCAGGAGACAGGCAGGCACCTGAGTTCTAAGCACAAGGCAGTCCTGGTTTTCATGTTGTGTTGCTTTTCCATGTGCGCGCATCCTTTCAGAATTCAGACCCACTGCACTGGGAAATGTCCCTTGCACACCCTGAAGCGAAGCTTCATCCACCTACCCACCTCCTTCCAATTCCACTCTCTCCTCTTCTCTTGCTTAGAATACTTTCTGAGGCGGGGAGGGTGTAG